TGCTTGCTGCGTCCTCGGTTCCTGTCCAGAAGCGGAGGAGCTTCAAGAGATCCATAACCTTTAGGCATTTGTCTTGTATGTTTTGTAACCTTTAAATATACAATAAAGGAAAAAAAAAAAAAAGGGAAGGGGGTGGTAGGAGAAAAGCACACAGAAACTGTACTGGAGGGGGACCTACATTCCCTCCAATGCGTTATGTGTGGTTTCCTCCGAGGCTATGGGTCCCCCTTCTTCCAGCCAGAGGTGGTACTCCCTTCCCTATTTTTATATATATATATATATATATATATATATATATATATATATATATATATATATATATATATATATATATATATATATATATATGTGTGTATGTATGTATGTATGTACCTAGTAGTCAGAACGCACTTCTCGGCCTACTATGCAAGGCCCGATAATTTATATAATTATAATATACAGTATAATTTTTGTACAGATAACTTGAAATTTAATTAATTTATATTTGTACACACATGACAGTTTTAAGCAGAGACCTATTGTAATTCATTTTGCTACATGATAAAGTCTATACAGTTGTTCAATTAGTACAATTGTGAAACATTTTATCTTAAGGTGTACATTGTATATGATGAAAATATTCCACCAAGAAATTGTCTTGATGAAAAGAAACATAGCCAGAGCCTACCTCTTTTCAACTGTTAATAATTTTCAATTACTTTGCTGTAGAAAAATTTTATACCTTTTGTTATAAAATGAAAGTAAATTGCTGTATTTAAAACATAGTCCAACTTAAAACTAATTATGATGTACCCTGAAAGAATGTTGAAATTAAGTAAATACTTGTTCACAGGTTTAGCAATGATTGACTATGGTCAGGAGGAATATATTTTCTATAGATAGTGGTTGAGACCTACCCTGATCAAGCTGGAGTGAAAACCAAGACAAAAGGGCGGCTTCTTGTTGTACTCTCGAACACTCTCCTTCAATGAACTGCCATCATCAGGGAAACGGTTGGCAACAACAACAAATGCACCATTATATGCATCCACATCCCGTTCAAAACATTGTTTACTTGAAACTATTTCCCCATGCGAACGAAAATCTGAAAATTTGTAATACATTGTGTACTTTATTTCATTGCAGCATTAGCATAATAAAGCATATTTATACTGAATACAGAATATCAACACTATTGTTCTCTTCCTTTAATGTTGCTTTTTATTTGCCTGTTGTAACCCATAAAGCATATGATAAACATGCTTACCTTATTGAATTTCAAACCATTATATTTCCTAAAATCTACAGCTCTTATAATCAGTTCAGCCACTATGTCACCAACAAGTTTCAAAAATAATTATCCGCAAAACACTGTACAGTATACAGTACACTGTTTACATTGCACTAGCAAAGTGTTGTACGAGAGAGTACTAGGAAGATGGGACACTACAAGCATAGCTCTCATCCTGTAACTACTGTACACTTAGGTAATTATATGGAAGATGACATCATATTTTTTTTTTTTTTTTTTTTTAAGATATATACAAGAGTTGTTACATTCTTGTACAGCCACTAGTACGCGTAGCGTTTTGGGCAGGTCCCTGGAATACGATCCCTGCCGTGAAGAATCGTTTTTACAACCAAGTACCCATTTTACTGTCGAGTTAAACAGAGGCTACAGTTAAGGATCTGCGCCCAGTAAATCTTCCCGGGCCAGGATACGAACCCATGACAAAGCACTCGCGGAACACCAGGCGAGTGTCTTACCACTACACCACGGATACTGATCTTGATGCAGAAGTGGTCAGGAAAGACATGCACCATGTTCAAATTGTCCAGAAAAACAGAGTTAAAAAATTACTTAATTTTGAGCACTTTTGGGGTGTTATATCTTAGGAAAATGGCGAATTATTTTCAAAAGTTTTGTGACATTGATACACTGACCTTCTTTCATACCTAATGACTGAGGCAGTAAAGAAATTGTTATTACAAAATACTACAACATCAGAATTAAGGTGAAAGATCAGTGTAGTGCCTTGAGGAGCTGTGTGAAATACTATTTCAAGATATAGATTATGTTTCTGTACACTTACCCCATATGTAGCTAAGCCAATCATCTGGCATGTACTCCTCACGGTCTACAAACAGGAGAAGATATTTTTTCTCTGTCTCCTTTGGCTTGAATATTCCGGTCATGGCCATCACAGTCAATAGATTATTTACTGAATTACGATGCCCGATGAACACATAAACTATGGAGAAAAAATATGTGTTGAAATAAAAAAAAACTGTCAATGTTAAAATATACCAAACATAAAGTTAAATTTTGCCTGATCTAACCCATCATGCATTCAAGGGATCCCACACTTCCAACTATGTTATTACCATATCCACAACAAGCATCAAACATTAACATATGCAGTAATACAATAACTGTTCACTTGCCTACACCCCATTGGAAACAGCAAGTAAAATAACTCATGACTATGTAAGCGTTCATAACTACGTGAGCTGGCAGGTAGTGCTCACCTGCCAGCTCACCCAACGAAAATTTGGTTTTTCACTTACATTTATTGGGTCTTTCCTTCACCTTCATTCAAGCACTAGGGTATGACAGTAAGTTGTTTAATTATTATTTTTATTAATATTATTATTTTTAATTTTTGTTATTATTAACAGGGGAGGAGTGGGGGAAGGTAATGGTTTCATGTCCACATTCCAATGCCCCCCTTCCCAGGGCTGGGAGTGCGGGGGTGTACAATAAACTATACCCACCTCCGGCGGCAGCTTGTTGAAGGCGGAAGTGGAACCTAGACAGTTTGTCATGATAATTAGTGATGGCACTTATTTTGATTATGGGTCCATAATCCAGTTAAGCCTTTATTCTTAATTTATATTACAATGCTGGTAAAATACACTTCTTGATGATGAATATGAAGTACAAATGAACTCACTGTGAACCCTATATTCACAAGATGAGTATAGGGTACACAATAAACTACCACTCACATGATGGGTATGGGTTGCACAAGAAACTATCGCACAGAAGATGAGTATGGAGAGCAAAGTAAACAAAGATTCACACAATGAGAAAGGGTGAAAATATAAAAATAATATACATGAGAAAGATACTAGAGGGCCAAGTACCAAATCTACACAGTAAAATAACAACATACTGGAGTGAACGATATGGAAGAAAATGCAGAATAGAACCAATGAAGAGCAAAGGTGCCATAGGCACAATCAGAGAACACTGTATAAACCTCAAAGGTCCATGGTTGTTCAACATCCTCCCAGCGAGCATAAGAAATATTGCCGGAACAACCATGGACATCTCAAGAGAAAACTAGATCATTTTCTCCAAGGAGTACCAGACCAACCATGCTGTGGTGGATATGTGGGCCTGCCGGCCACTGCAATCAACAGCCTGGTGGACCAAACTCTCACAAGTCAAGCTTGGCCTCTGGCCGGGCTTGGGGAGTAGAAAAACTCCCAGAACCCCATCAACCAGGTATCAACCAGGTAACCACGTTGCACAATGCCATATGACTCACAGGATGAGTATGAGGTGCACAATAAACTACAGGGCACAGGATAAGTATGGGTTGCACAATAAAGTACAGGTCACAGGATGGGTATGGGTTGCAAAATAAATTACTGCACAGAGGATGAGTATAGGGTGCACGTAAACAAAGACACACAGGATGAGTATAGGTGCACAATAAACTACCGCTCACAGGATGAGTCTATGATATCCGTGCTCTATATTAGGGTAACTAAAATACACCTCTGTTTCCAAAATAAATACTTAATGACAAATATTCGCAAATATATTTTATGCTTCCAATTTTCTGATGATATAGAACATATCATCATATATATAGGGCCCCAGTAGTACAGTTGTGTTCATTCTTGACGCACTATCGAGAATTCCGGGTTCGAATCCTGGGCGGAACAGAAATGGTGTCGGAAAATCCGACACCATTTAATATATCATACAGACAGATAATAGCTGTGTTGTATAAACAAGTTAACCCATAGAAAACGTAACTTGTAGTGGAATTACCGTCTAAAGAAAACGGGATATCATCACCACATACCATTATAAATTCACCAGCTATTCTGCTGGGAATTATTCTTAAATACATTAGTCTTTGGACTTTACCATCATAAAACATCTCATATAAATTAACTTAATTATCAGTATTAAAGTAGAGTAAATGTGACCCTTCTATCACTTATTGACATCTGGACAATGTAGGCCAGGCGTCAGTGAGGAAGGAGGGGCAGCCATTGTTGTGTCACCTCCGAGACGCGTGGAGCAAATTCGGCTCCTATCATATCTGGACAATGTCGGCCAGTAGCGTCAATAGTATGGAGTGTTAGACATTGCCATTGTTTATACTAGACCAGAGGCTCACAGGAGCAAATATGGCTCCTGTTAATTTTACTTGGACGTAGTGTTATGGAAACCAAAGGTGTACCATTATCAACACGCTGTCAACAAATCAAGTTAAGTGTTCTTTCCGAAACCCATTATCTATCATTAGTGGCCATTAATGTCATTGGGTAGGGTTAGCCGGTTAGAGCACGAGATAGCCTCAAACTAAAGGTAATTAAGCCAGGTCTTTATTGTTCCATGTACAGTGTTTTCTCTGATATAGCTTGCCATATATAGGTATCTGGCTTTACAGCTAGCGCCCTTTTGACAGGTCAAGACGAGGAAGCATGCTTTGTACATCAGTTACCAGGGTGATGGAAGCTACCTCAAAGAGGGAAAATGTGGTGTCTACATCCTGGTTATACCTGCTGTACAAATAAGATAAGGAACCTCTTCAATGTATGTAGTCTAATACTGTAGTTTGATTGGCTGCATATATATAAATTTAATTAATATAAACCCCCCTAATGTGTAGAGGATCGATTTGTGAGATTGAGATTATTGCAGAAATACAGTCCACTTAACATCATACAAATTGCTATCGAAGTATATAAATTAACGTAAATATAAATTCATATAAATTAAATAAATATAAATCTCACAGGTCGGTTCCCACAAATGGTTGGGTACATTTCCTTTCACGTAATGTGACTGTTCACCTAGCAGTAAGTAGGTACTCAGGAGTTAGTCAACTTGTTGTGGGGTTGCATCCTGGGCAGGGTCAGTAATTCGACCTTAGGGATGACCTTGATAAAAGCCTAACTGTATGAATATACTCTGGCTTCCTGTTCCCCAACACAATGAATTATTGTAATTATAATATTATGGTTTATAATTAAGTTCTTAAAAGCGATCATGCATCATAATTAACATATGTCTATATTTACCTCTCTTTTGTGTATTAAACTTACAAACATTTTATAAGTTAATTTCTGTCTGTATATGATGATGATCATCATATACAGACATCATATACAGAAAAATTATTTTATCTCTGCCTTTCAGATAACATATATGATGATGATCATACACAATTAAGGTAGCATTGCAGCTTTATAGATAATTGTTAAATCCATAATATATCTTGGTTCTTAAACTTGAGATATTGTTACAATAAATGTTTGAAAACAAAGTTTATATCTGTATTTAAAATATAAAACTAACGTTTATCAACGCATCTCTCTGAATTACATAATTTTTCATAATTGTGAAGCCTGTATTACCTGCCTGGCAGGATACTGATGCATTGGAGGTTTTCATGTGTCCGGACACCGGCGATGGTGTGGTATTTGCTATTTATCTGACCATATCTTGGCTTTCATTTAAGATATATTTTCCTTGAAATGTAGTCACATTATCATCTACATCTGTCTTTATGCTGAAACATAGACCTTTAATATTACTTTGCATATATGCAAATGAATTACACAATTGACTGGCTTGTTTGCAGGCCTTCACAGTCCCTGAAGTAGCCATCACGTAACTATAAAAAGGCATATATCTTTACTTTCACTTGAGTTATATTTATGCTAAAGTATTAACATGCAGCTTATATGTCTGTCTTTATTATGACATAGAAAACTTCATTTATTACAATATCTAGATTAAATTAACATTGATCTTCGAAAGATCATAGTTCCCATCGATAGGGAGAGCGTCGGCCAAGAAGCCTCGTTTAAAATATGAATATTTGTCGTCTATAATAAGGTATAATCTCTGTGATGGATTCACAAAAATTATTTTATCTCTGCCTTTCAGATAACATATACAAATATAACCTTTATTTGTGAATCTTTGTAAATTAAGCAATATATCAGAGGGCGTGTAGGGTTCGGTGTTCTATGAACGAAAAGGACACGAGTAGTTTAAATAGCGAACGCATACCAACGGATAACGCTAGTATCTATATAACAAAATTATTGTCCTGTAGAGTTGATTTAACTTCCAGACACGTTTTTAAATAAATATTAAATATTTAGTGGCCGTTTATGAAAGATATTATTATAAATACACATTCTATTTGTTAATATCACCAATTAAATTTGCGACAATTTGAGCCAAGGAGTGCAATGACTGGATCACTGTGTATAAGAGGCTGATACGGCAGCAAACACACTCCAGGCGACCATATATCTAGGATAAGTCGCTCCACAAAATTGTCGCTTGGACTGTCGACTTCCTATGGCGTCTCCTCTCACATATTTACTTCTAATTTCTTTATGAAATTAGATTATTTCAGAGTAAAAATAGGTTTGATCATGTTCTGCGTTCAGCACCAACATTATAATAAGTAAATATACCATATTTTTTTCTTCATTACTTACGTAATGCTAGGAGGATTTGGGTACATTTGGGTAGATTTGGGCAATTCTATGGACCCAGCTGGATGATTGAGCAACGGTCATGCTTCATGCAGGCCAGAATTCACTCCCCGACTGTCCAAGTTGTTGGGCACCATTCCTTCCCCCGTCCCAACCCAAATCCTTATCCTAATCCCTCGTTTTCCCTCTCCCCTTTTTATCTTTTTCCTCATCTCTCTCTCTCTCTCTCTCTCTCTCTGTCAAAGACCCTTATCTAACTTACTTCTTGTGGAATGTTTGGTTTCCTGCAAGACAAAAGGGAGTTGATCCACGTTGTATAATATTTGATGATTAATGGTCATGTTCTCCTTCTCAGCCTCCACTATCAAGGTATCCTTCATGCTGTGATTATCTTCCGTATAAATGATGGAAAACTTATTCCAGTTATTGTGGCGAAGTGTTGCTACAGTTGTCTTGATGATCTGCAAGGTAACAGATTGGTAAATATCTAGGTCTGTAACAATAATAATAATAATAATAATTTTTATTTAGGTAAAGGTACATACATAAAGAGATTACCTTACCTAACTTTATTTCATTACTAATTATAATTATCCACTAAAACTAGCTTTGTATATGCATGCATATTTATGTACAGTATGTGTATTTCTGTACACCGTAACATGTCGGCTCTCAAAATAGTTGCAGTCACAAAGTTATAAACTTACCAACCTAGTTTAAATTTACATTGTATAGGTAAAGTATGTCTTTGCTAACTACAGAAGGTATTTTTTATAGCCAATCAAGGGAAGAAATCCAAAGCTTGCTCCCCAGTGGGCACAATATCCCAGAGTAATGTTAATTCAACACTGAATTAACTGTACTCCTGAATATTGTGGCCACTAGGTCATCTCATGATACAACAAATCAGGGTTGCCAGATCCAAATTGCTGAAAGTAGCAAGCTGAGGGTCTAAAAGTAGCGAATTTGCAATAAGAGTAGCCCAATTTTTTGTTTAGTGACTGATACAGGTTTCAAAGTAATATATTTTAATATATAGAGTACACTACACGATTTTGAAAGTTTCAGCATTACTTGGAATACGAGAAAGACGCTCTTTGCAAGCTTTCACTTAAATATTATGGCATCTTTCTTGAATATTTTGAAACTTTTCCTGGGTTATAAAATTGTTTTGTCTGTTAGTTGCCAGAAGTGTTGAAAATTCGTAACCAAAGTCCACTTTCTCCAGAGGCAGACATATGTAATTGTAGTCCAAATTAACATGAAGCTTTGCATGATGAGAATGCACGATTCTTCCGAGTATTCCAAGAGTGAAGCTTTCTAAGACAGTGTGAAGGCTACACTGATCTGCTTCGTCTTTTTGATAAAGTCAATTCATACTTTAAAAAAGATTTAGGATTGGTCTGAGAAATGTGAAATATAGCTAATTGGGGGATCAGAGTCCATTGAAAAAGTTGCCTTGTAACACATTTATCACAAGAGCAAGAAGTGATTTGGTAATGAGTTGTTAAAGAATCCCACTGATCTAACAGCCACTTTACACTACCGCTCCTTGCCAACCATCGTCTTCCTGACAAAGGTATTTACTGTAAAGGATGTTGCCCATCATTTATCAATCTGTACATTTCTAGATAACGTTCTCTCTTTAATGAAGATCTGTAGAACCAGATGTAACTTTCGGGATGAAGTATTAACGACAATTAAGGTTGGGAAATCTATGGCCCCTGGGGAGGATTACTTTGCCTTGCGGTTACTTTTTCTCTCAAAGGTTCCTAGGATCAACGTCCCCAGAGGGCCGGTCTCTGACCAGGCCTCCTGTGGTAAGTGGTCTAGTCAACCAGGCTGTTTGACGCAGCTGTGATTTGTACACATTACATTATAAAAGTATAAATAATCATCATTTAGTTTAACATTACTAGCCCAACTTGCTTTTAAAGTAGCCCAAAAAGTCGCAAGTAGCGAAATTAAAAAATTGGGAGCGCGGAGCTTTCAAAAGTAGCCCAATTCGCTACTTGTAGCTCAATCTGGCACTCCTGCAACAAATATCATAAAATAACCTTAAAATACGAAAAGTGGAGACATGGATAACCTCACCTTTCACTATAGAGACATCAAGAGGTCTGACAGGCATCATGTCACCAATAATGGTACACCTGTATAGTGTATACAGTATTGTACAATGCAAGTCAACATGTATCACGATACAAACCAGGAGTTGAATTAATGAAAGGCTTTTTTTCTGGTGCTCCAGTAGCTCCTCGAGTTTATTCATCTCTGGTACCCCTAAGCCTTAGCCCAACACAGACCTCTGAGATCCATCCATCACCTACTAGAAGCCAGAACCAATATCTGGCTCACTCTACACGGAAAAAGAGAGTGAGGTCTTGATGGTAAAGATGAGGCCATCCTAACACCGCCCTGCTCGCCTTAGCAAGCACGCGATTCTTCATTTTGGACACTGGACTGCCCAAACTCCCAGTTCAGCAGCTTTGTGATTTCCGACAGCTAGAGTTGCGACAGAGCTGCCACTCTGACATGGAGCATTTTCAGGTAGACAATGGGCCTCCCCAGCATCAGCCAGACTTCATCAACAAAAGTAAATTGCTCGCTAATCCAGCCACCAAATCCCGTTTATGAACGAAAAACAATTTACACGCGACTCAACACTGAACTGATGGGGGTATGTACTCTTCTCGAACAGTGCTTCACTCACATCCTCTGCTCAAACTGCATCTCATTCATACTGCAAATACTATACCAATAATTGCCAACAGAACATAATTACCTAACCTAAACCTAACTATTCAACACATTCTAATACTGTATATAATAAAATTAGGCTATATTTGAGAAAATATCACGTTTGAATACGCAGCACTTTAAAATTAATGAATGCGCCTTTGGCCGGCTATAAGCGTTTTTACATTCTTGTAAAGCCACTAGCACGCATAGCATTTCAGGCAAGTCTTTAATCTTAATTTTCCCTGGAATACGAGCCGCCAAATTGTTTAACAACAACTTTTGAGACAAACCTAACTTATATAAGATATGGGTACAAACTGTTTAAAACAAATTATACAGTATTAAAAATCAAACATTCTATAATTTGTAGGCTTTGTATATATTTCAACATATTAAATATAGAATTAAAGTCATTTGACAAAATATTAAAATGAGGAAGAGCCTAACTTACATAAATCTCTGAGGGATTCGTCCTGACGAAAGTGGTGAACTTTGACGCCCGCTCGTTGCTGCAGGCCTGTGGTGGGGGGAGACATAAATATAAATAAATAAATATGTTAATTCAGGTAAGGTACATACATACAAGTGATGTAACATTAATGGATTGATATATAGATAGAGCTAGTACATACAATGCCTAAAGCCACTATTACGCAATGCGTTTCGTGCAAAAATGATTAATAAACATGATTAATAACAACTGAAGTCAGGTAACATGCTAATATAATCATAACAACGATGAAAATGAAAGGAATCTTTCTCTACATTATAACAAAGTAACTTTCAATGAATTTATATTAAAGTTTAGTGTAATTTCAGCGCAAAAACATAAAGTGAAAACTGACTGATGATCGCTTTCCAAGATTATAAAATCAAGACCACGATCTGTGGCCTTAAACGACTTCAATTATATCATTATGTGTTACTATTGGGAAATTATGGGTGCATGTGGTTCGTGAGTAACCTTATTGCATTGCCATGGGTGTGCAAACCTGACTTTCCGTATGGAAGTATTCCACAAAAATCTAAAATTATTTGCAGATGATGAGTCACAATAACGTGGCTGAAGCCTTGCTTCGACAAGAAGCAAAGTACAATGCCTTAAGCCAAATTGATGCTTTGGTCAGAGAGCGCTCCCTTTCCCAAATTATTTACACTGATGACTCCTTGCACCAGCCCTATGGTGCAGCTGGAAGTGCCGTTGTTGTGACAGAGAGAGATGGTTCCTTCTCCTACGAGTGTGGAGCGGGTATAAATAACAGGGCATCTACTCTTCAAACAGAATTAGTTGCCATAATCCTTGCACTCGAGCGCGTATATGAATCCAAGGTTGACACCCTAATTGTAAGTGACTCTTTGTCATCATTGACAACCCTCAATTCCCCAAGGCATAACTGTGACGTGCTTGTCTCTGAAGCTAGACACCGATAAAATGAAATAATCAATAACGGAGTCAGAGTTTGTCTCCTGTGGATTCCTTCCCATATTGATCTCCGAATGCATGATAGAACTGGTGAATTAACCAAGACTTTTTCTCATAAAGAGGGAATTGATTACCATCCTGGACTGCCTTTGAGCAGCCTGAGGGCAGTAATATTTCGCGAACATCAACAAAATTTTGATGACAAAACATCAAAATCTCAACACATTTTATACTCTAATCTCAATTAGTATTAAGTTTTAGTCTTTAGTGTTTTTCCTGCCCGAAACGCTTTGCGTAATAGTGGCTTTAGGCATTGTGTGTACTAGCTCTATCTATAAATTCATCAATATTTATATCACACCTTGTATGTATGTACTTTACCTGAATAAACATTTGAATTTTTAATTGAATAAACATTTGAAAATCTCATAGACTTGAAGCAAAGTGAAATTCACACCAGTTACTCCCTCTATCATCATTCTATTATGCAGGAAGAACCGCACGTCTACATCCATTAAGGTTAGCTGACTTCTAGATGTTACCACTGCTAGGCTTAGGCTCGGTTACAAGTACCTCTGGAAGTTTGTAACATTTGCTGATGTAGATTTGACTAAATGTAAACTTTGTCAGCAGAACTATTCGCATACTTTGCTTCATTGTATAATGGAATGTGAAAAAATCGCGGAATTCAGAGATAACACCATCAATGGAGTCCAAGAAATGTGAAAGTGCTTCATTCATGATGATCTTAGCGAAGTATTAAAAATTTGCTTACTATTGGTGCAGCCTGCACATGACTGTAAAGCTGCCGCCCAGTTGGGTGGGTGTGGAACAAGACTAGTAACTGTGTGACTCACCATAGATGTAAAGTGCCTTCTATAGTGAATGTTGTGAACCTTTTGTTGAATCACTTCTGATATAAAAAGATTATCAATGTGTATATGTATTTGTGTAAATGATTGTATATACTAGCTTCACAAGATTGGAGTAGAAATAGCCTAAGCTACTCTATCCCTTTGAGATGTATCTTTTTTCTTGTCTTAATGAACATACTTGAAGAAGACTGTCACTTGTTTAGCTAAACGAACTCTGGGGTGCAGTTACTGAACCGATTATGTGCCTCTGTAACCCTTTCCACAGCCACCCACGGGATGGGTATGGGTGCATCATGAAGAAAGAAATTGAAATGAAGAATGATGACCAAACTACACATCAGAAGATGGTGAAACGACGACGTTTCGGTCCGCCCAGGACCATTATCGAGTCATGTGAGAGAAGACGGGCGATTGATTGATGAAGATTAACACAAGAGGTGGCACGGGCATGAAGAGAGGATGTTGTTGTTTGTTGTTTTAGAGTCAGTTACTAGGAACAAGAGCTTCACGGGCTCACCATAGCCCGTGCTACATGGACACTTCGTTTTGAGTAGCTAAATCTGAAACAACAACAATGGGAAGAAAAGTTGCAAGTGAGCCCATAGTGGACTTACCTGCCACAGGAGCGGGGCTCGTGGAAGAGAGGATTGATTGATTGATGAAGATTAAGCCACCCAAAAGGTGGCACGGACATGAATAGCCCGTAAGTGGTGGCCCTTTGGAGCCTTTACCAGTATCATTAGCTGATACTAGAGATCTGTGGAGGTGCGACTGCACCCTGCGTGACGGGAGATGATGGAATAGAGGATGTTGTTGTTGTTATAGATTCAGCTACTCGGAAACAAGTTCCAAGTAGCACGGGCTATGGTGAGCCCGTAACTTACCTGGCACAGGAGCGGGGCAAGAAGCACGGGCTATGGTTAGCCTCGTGGACGGGAGATGTCTCCCGTCGTGAAGAGAGGAAGGTACGGGCAAATAAATAAGGAAAGAATGAGGTGAGGAGCAGAGAAGAAAAAGTAATTATCTTCTGAAGTGAACTAAAGATCCAAGTTCGCAGATGATGCAAAAATTAGTAAAGTAATTAGGATGGGAGAGGTTTATAGAGAGCCTGACGGGAACCTAAAAGGTGCGCACTTGACATCAACCCCCAGCAAGTGTGGCGCGCGTGTGTGTGTGTGTGGGGGGGGGGGGGGGAGGAGACCACAAGGCCACTACACAAGCAGGCCAAGGGCTGATAAAGGATAAAGATCATGGATGGATGGATTTATCAGGGAGAAGCGCCAAGCTATTATGACTATATAACACTAGGAAAGGGGTCAGGATAAGCATTTGGGATGGGACCGGAGGGAGGTTATCTTGAGATGATTTCGGGGCTTAGTGTTCCTGCGGCCCGGTCCTCAACCAGGCCTCCACCCCCAAGAAGCAGCCCGTAGCAGCTGTCTAACTCCCAGGTACCTATTTACTGCTAGGTAACAGGGTGAAAGGAACATTTTGCCCATTTATCTCCGCCTCCATCGGGGATCGAACCCGGAACCTCAGGACTACAAATCCGAAGCGCTGTCCACCCAGCTGTCAGGAGCCAAGGGGGAGGGGGAAGAAATGGTACACAACCACTTGGAGGGTCGGGGATTGAACGCCGACCAACATGAAGCGAGACCGCTGCTCTACCGTCCAGCCCAAGTGGTTCAGGTAAAGATCACGCGGTAGACATGATATACTGCTATAGACATATACTGTACGGTAGACATGATATACTACTATAGACACATACCAACCTTCAGTAGCCGTTACAAGGCTTGCAAATATCCCGGTAGCTTTATGGAAATTGGACAAGGAGACATTTAAGGTACTGTGTACTATATGTGTGTGTACTAGAGTAAACGTCCCCAGAATGTTGACCTCATCTGATAAAATGCAAGACGGTACTTAAGAAACATCTGAGGTATGCCATAAGACTGATTATATTACTGAGAGAATTAGAGAACGAGGACTGAGCGAATTAGATCTCAACAATATACGATATGTTAAAGTGGAGACATGAAATGTAACATACTGCGAGGCTCGAGGTATACTAAGATACTCGTAGTATACTAAGAGGTACATACTGTAACTAAGAAGAGTAAAGTATAAAGAAGACTGAGAGGTAAGAAATGGTACAGAGGAGATAAGGGGCCAGATTCACGAAGCAGTTACTCAAGTACTTACTAACGTGAGCATCTTTTCTCAATCTTTGGTGGCTTTGTTTACAATTATTAAACAGTTAATGAACTCCGAAGCACCAGGAGGCTTATTATAACAATAGCAACAGTTGATTGGGAAGTTTTCATGCTGGTAAACTGTATATTAAATGTAACCAAAGTCGTCAAAGATTGAGGAAAGATGTACACGTTCGTAAGTACTTGTGTAACTGCTTCGTGAATCTGACCCATGATCAAGACAAATTCTAATGAAAGCTGATCTGGTCATCAAAGAGAACATAGTCATTAAAGGACAATGTAGAACAGGACAACAAGGGATGCAAGCTTGAGGCGCAGATGAGTCGCAGGGATGTTAGGGGGGGGGGGGAGAAACAGACCAGAGGAAGAAACAGGTGATAATTCAATACATGATATTCGAAGTAGATACAAGTAACCGGAGGGGTTGGGACTCCCGCAACCCGTTCTCGCACTTGCTTACGGTCAATATTGGCTTATTTAATAAGTGCATATGTGACATACTAATTGATTGTGAATATTTTAGTTTACCTTGGAAAGCTTCATAGAAAACACCGACCTCACCTAACCTTCTTACTATGTTAAGATAAGCATCTTATTGCTTCTTATTTACAATTATTACTTAACCTATCAACGGTATAGGTTAAATAATAATTGTACATATGAAAATATGACAGCTGGTAAGGCGGGGCTCAGAACCTAGCACTCGACCCTGTAAACATATTTAGATAAGTACCCCCGCGCTTGTGCGTGATAAGAGATGTAGCTTCCATAGCCCCGTCATCACCTTCCTCCTCTCCTCACGTACGCGAACAAGGGGGACACAGGTGGAGACCGAGTACCCAAATGAGCCACAGACACGTTAGAAAGAACGTTTCCAGTGTCAGAGTAGTTAACAGGTGGAATGCATTAGGCAGTGATGTGGTGGAGGCTGACTCCATACACAGTTTCAAGTGTAGATATGATAGAGCCCAGTAGGCTCAGGAACCTGTACACCAGTTGATTG